AAAAAAAAAAAAAAAAAAAAAAAAAAAAAAAAGAAGTACAGTTACACTATCTAGTCTATTTATAATATCCAGTGTATTGGTATTTGGCAAAATTAAAGAAGATATCCTATCTATCCTATATTTGTGAGTCTAAAATTTCATATCTAACTTATCTTTTATCATAACTGAGGAAAATTATAACTATCTAGTCTTCAATTACATCAAAGACCTCAGAAGGATATAATATGACCTGAGAAACAGGAAAAGGACGCAACTTTCAGGAGTCTTGTGAGAATAGACGGAGACAGCTGGCAGCCTGGACAGTCATCTAAAGTTCCTTTGTAAAGTTGGGGTATCTGTCTTCAGCCCACAGGCCTAGAGTCCTGTAGAATGTCTGGCAGTTTCCTCTATGAAGCAAGAACCTGAAGGACCATTTTGCCAAGCAAAGTTCAGTGGTTACCTTCTTATGGGTCCCGTATGTACAGTCAATCAAGCAGTCCAGCAAGAACAGTTTCTTGCCCAAATGGCTCTTTTTGCCAAGAAGAAGATAAACTCTATATAGAGTGTTTTCAATACCCATCCTCTTTTCTTAAGTAAATTGGTGCTGCCAGGAGCAGACATGTCTCACTGTCCAGAAAGTCTAATTTCTTAAAACATTTTAAATGCCATATTCTGTAGGTCTTTGAAGTGTTTGAAGATTACCTATCTATCTGAAATATATCTATGTATACCTAGAAAACTTAACATGACTATAAGTTTGACTATTATAGAAGACTAATTGTTCCATTACATTTTAAATAAGTTGTATAAACATAATACCTTAAACAAGAGTAAAAATACACATACAATATAACAAAATTAACTTTAAATTTGTATCAATAAACTAAAATAATCTACAGCAATGTAAAACATTTCTAAACAAGTTGCTCTTCAAAAGTAGTTTCAATAATCTACCCTTTCATCCTATCATATGTATATCATATTCCCTTTTCTTCTTTAGAAAGAGATTGCACTTATAATCAACCTGATTTAAATAAAAATGAGCCAGGCAGTGGTGGCACACCTCTTTAATCCCAGCACTCGGGAGGCAGGGCCAGGCAGATCTCTGTGAGTTTGAGGCCAGCCTGGTCTACAAAGTGAGTTCCAGGAAAGGTGCAAAACTACATAGAGAAACCCTGTCTTGAAAAACCAATATATATATGTTTTTCTCTGTTCCACACCAGAGGGCTCTTCTGATATGGGACACAAGAATCTTTGAACCTTTTTTTTTTTTTTTTTTTTTTTTTTTGTAATATACTTGGGTTTAGAGAAGGAGTGAGTCAGTTCCATCTCCAAAGCCAGCTTGGTTTTTTTTGGGAATTTGGGCATAGTTTCTCTTACTACTTCCTGCTGGAGGGGGGCCACTGTATCTTATGGGGACACAAAGAAAATTTTAGGATTATGGAGTAGTCCATGAGGGTGTATTGTCTGAGCCAGTTGGCTTGACATCATTCTGGATGTTGGATCATCTGGGCCATGGTGTCACTGGAGATCTTTCAGGGGGTCTTGGCTGGTTAAACCAGATGTACCTTAATCTGGAACAAATCCATAGCCTATTGCTTTCTGTGGAAACAAAAGCAGAGCCTCCTTTCAAAGTAATATATCCTTACATCCAAATTTTGAAGTCAAGGTAGATCAGAGCAATAGCGAAGAGCCAAGACTACCTTTAGCTTACCACTTGCTGCCGTCGATTCCCCTGAGAGAGCGTTTCTTCCTGTCTGACTTGTCTTTTTATTGCCTTTCTGTTCTGCCTTCTCATTGGCTCTAAGCCCAGCCACATGACTTCCTCATCACTGCCTGTCTATACAGACCTCCAGGTCTCTATGGTTGGTACTGGGATTAAAGGCTCATGTCACTGCCTGGCTGTGTCCTTGACCACATAGAGACTCTGCCTGCCATGTGATCGGATTAAGGGCATGTATGCTGGTATTTTATTTGTACTGAAATGTGATTTTAATTGTATGGTAATAAATAAAGTTGCCTGGGGGTCAGAGCTATTAGAGCCATAGCAAAAGCTGGGTGTTGGTGGTGCACACCTTTAATCCCAGTACTTGGTAGGCAGAGCTAGGTAGATCTCTGTGTGTTCAAGGATACAGCCAGCATTGGAGACACACGCCTTTAATCTCAATACCATAGAAGACCTGGAGGGCTGTACAAGAGACAGTGATGAGGCAGTCTTGTGGTTGGTTTTACAACCAATGAGAAGGCAGAACAGAAAAGTCTATATAAAGACAAACAGACAGGAAGTAGATCTCTTTCGGAGAGGTCTCTTGGCTTAAGAGGCTAGCTGCAGCAGGCAGGTAAGGCTTTTAGCTCTGATCTCTTGGCTTTCTTCTTTGCATTGGTTCTGTGTTTCTTATTTAATAAGACAGTTGGCTACATCTACAGGCATGGGCTACCAGCACCTGACTTCTGTTCCTGGCTCACTAATGACCTCTGATCTCCAGGCAAACTTTATTAACATACAAATAAAATCACATTTCAGCACAATTAAAATATCACCACACAATTTAGTCTTTCTTGTTAATATATTCAGTGTGGCATGCCCATCATCTCAGATCTGACTGTCATGGTGTGAACACCAGAGAGAAGGAGTCACACGTTGGTAGGAAAAGCATCCCCAGGGGATTCAGAGCCTGTGCCTCCAACTCTGGAATGCTTTTCACATCCCCCAAAGAGGTGGAGTGACTGACTGCCTGAGATAACAAAGCAAGCTGTGCTTAATACCAGCTACTTGTTTGCATTCAGAAAAACACTCGAGGTAGCAATGGGACACAACCCTCACTCACAGAGCATCTTGGAAGTAAACTATTGAATCATCTTAAGAGACACCAATCTGGTGATTAGCCATATCCTAGACTTCTTGTGACAAGGAGGTTGTACTCAAGATGACAAACAGGGAAACTTCCTCTCTAGGGAGTCCAGCTCTGCTTGTGCAGTTTTAGGTGTTTACTTGTGACCAGTTAGTACCTGGTGGATGTTTCTTCTTCCTGTCAGAGTGGATTCCAAAATGAATCAAAACTAAATTTCCACTTTTGTCATTTAGAAAATTTTACACTCTTGATCTCAGAGGTTATTTGTGGTTTCATGCTTTCAGGTCCCAGCAGAAGCATTGAAGTACACAGAATACAGGGCTCATCTGATTCTTAGTGGTTATAACACATCTGAGTGTCCCTGAGGAAGAAGGCCTTGGAGTTCCAGCAGATCCTGCTTGGCAATGGAAGAACTCCTTCGTGGTAGCATTGGTTCTAGTGATTTGAAACATTATATGAAGATGGGCTCTGTTAGAAATTAGGTGCTCTCATGTAGATCACCTGTAAGAAGCAGAAAGATTTGTTGTGGGATCAAATATTTACAAGACAGATAGCCATGAAGCCCCATTAATTTGAAGCTGGACAAAAACAAAGTGATACATTGTCCAGTCATGGCCTGAGATGCAACAAGAAATAAGGAATATTGTCCAATCATGGCCTGAGATGCAGCAGGAAATGAGGAACACAGTAATCAAGTGACCAGGAAAAGACCAGTGCTGAATTGTCCTGCATTTAACATGGGACTTAAACAATAGGTTTAGTTTAACTTAGAGAAACTACACACTGCTAGTTTTACTCCAAGGTTTGAATTCAGGTGGGTTTTCATGTTTATACCTCATCCCATCTCTTCAGAGCTTTGAAATGTATCTTTCCCTTGTTTTCACAAGCATATCCTAAGGAATGGAGAAAGCTAACTATATTAAGGTTTACAATGGTCAGATAGCCAGGAATAGAGAGTCTTCCTATACAGAGATGAATAATTTGGATTCAGAAGATAACATACCCCATTCAACTGATTTAAGGACAAGAGCCTGCTCACTGGGGTACATGAAAAAGCTTGAGAATAAGGCTGGAGGTCATGCCACCTGGTGTCCAAGACAATTGTAAAACTCTGGGTACTGGACAGGAACACCACAGCTTGCCTCCTGAGTTTCTAAGGAAAGTCTTCCACGTGGCTGTTTCTCTGCCCTGAGAGAATTCTGGATGAGGCAACTACTGGTGGGGTGGAAACAAACCAAACTCTCTTGATGGCCTTGTGTCTTCATAGTCACCCACAGGTTCACTGTAACATCCTTGCCATGTAAGCACAAAGATCTGAATTCAGATTCCCAGCACCCACATAAAAAGCTGAGTGCAGTGGCATGCGCCTTTGAAAACCCCACTGTGTGCTGAACAGATAGTCTATTCAAAATTGGTGAGCTCCAGGTTCAGTGAGAGAGACTATCTCAAAAAATGAGGTAGAAGGCCAGCCTGGTCTACACAGTGAATTTCAGGACAGCCAGAGCTACGTAGTGCATCCCTGCCCCAAACCAAAACAAAACAACAAATGAGGTAGAGCTGGCCACATGTAAAGAACAAGTGTCTATGGAGTGCTGAGTGTACTCCTTCCTCCTCAACACAAGACCCACACAAGATCAACCCTGTAGCTGAAGTTTTCCCCAGACCTGCCTGGCCCACAGTCAGGACAAATCTCTCTCACCCACCAGTCTCACAGCCACTCAGACCCACACAAGTAAACACACAGAGACTTATATTGCTTACAAACTGTATGGCTGTGGCAGGCTTCTTGTTAGCTGTTCTTATATCTTAAATTAACCCATTTCTGTTCATCTATATGTCGCCACATGTTCTGTGGTTTTATCTGCTGCCTTTACATGCTGCTCCCTGGATGGCAGTCTGGTGTCTCCTCCAGACTTCCACCTCCCTGCCTCTCCTCTCTGTTTGTCCTGCCTATCCTATACTTCCTGCCTGGCTACTAGCCAATCAGCATTTTATTTACTCACAACATACAGAACATCCCACAGCACTTCCCCTTTTCTGTTTTTTTTTTTTAAAAGGAAGACTTTAGCTTTAACATAGTAAAACTGAATATAACAAAACAGTTATCTAGCAAGAATTACAGTTACAATATCTAGTCTATTTGTATTTGGCAAAATTAAAGAAGATATCCTATCTAATATTTGTGAGTCTAAGGTTTCATATCTAACTTATCTCATCATAACTAAGGAAATTATAACTATATAGTCTTCAACTACATCAAAGACCTCAGAAAGATGTAATAATATTACCTGAAAAATGGGAGAAGGATGCAAGCAACTTTCGAGAGTCTTGCGAGAGTGGACAGAGACAGCTGGCAGCCTGGACAGTCATCCAAAGTTCCTTTGTAAAGTTGGGGCATCTGTCTTCAGCCCACAGGCCTAGAGTCTCCTACTCACTTTTCTCTGTGTCCTGTAGAATGTCTAGCAGTTTCCTCTGCGAAGCAGGAATCTGAAGGACCACTTTACCAAGCAAAGTTCAGTGGTCACCTTCCTATGGGTCCTGCATGTTCAGTCAATATATTTTTTCAAGCAGTCCAGGGAAGAACAGTTTCTTGACCAAATGGCTATCTTTATCAAGAAGAAGATAAAATTCATACGGAGTGTCTTTGATGGCCATCCTCCTCTCTTAAGTAAATTGGTGCTGCCAGGAGCAGACATGTCTCACTGTCCAGAAAGTCTAATTTCTTAAAACATTCTAAATGCCATATTCTGTAGGTCTTTGAAGTGTTTGAAGATTACCAATCTGAAATATATCTATGTATACCTAGAAAACTTAACATCACTCTAAGTTTGACTATCATAGAAGACTAATTATTCTGTATTTCTTAATTATCCATTACAATCTAAATGAGTTACATAAACATAATACCTCAGATGAGAATAGAAATGTATGTATATATATATATATATATATAGTATAACAAAATTAAGTTTAAACTTGTATCATTAAACTAAAATCCATAGCAATATAAAACATTTTAAACAAGTTGCTCTTTAAAAGCAGATTCAATAATCTACCCTTTCATCCTATCATATCTATATCATATCCCCTTTTCTTCTTTAGAAAGAGATCGTATATATAATCAACCTGTTTTAATAAAAATATTGGTTTTTCTCTGTCCCACACCAAAAGGCTCTTCTGATATGGGACACAAGAATCTTTCAACCTTTTTTTTTTTTAGCAATATGTTTGGATTTAGAGGAGGAGTGAGCCAATTCCATCTCCAAAGCCAGCTTGGTATATTTGGGAACTTGGGCATAGCTTTTCTTACTACTTCCTGCTGGAGGGGGGCGCTGTATATTATGGGGACACAAAGAAAATTTTAGGATTATGGAGCAGTCCATGAGGGTGTATGGTCTGAGCTAGTTGCCTTGACACCATTCTGGATGTTGGATCATCTGGGCCATGGTGTCACTGGAGACCTTTCAAGGGTTCTTGGCTGGTTAAACCAGATGTACCTTAATCTGGAACAAGTCCATAGCCTATTACTTTCTGTGGAAACAAAAGCAGAGCCTCCTTTCCAAAGCAACATATCCTTACATCCAAATTTTGAAGTCAAGGTACCTTTAAAATATACATGTTGGCTTAACAGCTTTAATGATCAAATGTTTTTCTGCAGTTAAAAATATCAAAGACAACACAATCCAGATTCTCTGTGTAATATCCATGTTTATGTGGCTTATTTTTTACACTACCTTTTCTGTCTCTTTAAAGACTTTACTTTTTAAAACTATTTCTTTATATAACTGTATATATTTCTTTTTCTCTTTTGCCCAAGCCTGCATACATTTTTACACACATTGCAAAACATTTAAAGTCTTGTTCCATCTGAATTTGTCTTATTGTGAATTTATTGTTTTAAACTGCAGCATTACTAGGGCTAAAATAGCTTTGGCTGGTGGCTCCACCCACCTCAGCTTCCTAACATGGCGGTGGTATGTTTACCGTCAGCTCTGGGAGTCATCAACTCTTAGAAACAGTGGTTCTATGCTTCTATCAAAGCACTGTGTAGCCCAGTGCGGTGGTATTGTGTTCCCCAAAATATTGTGTACCCTAATAAACTTATCTGGGATCAGAGAACAGAACAGCCACTTACAGAGGCTAGAAAATGGTGGCACTCACACCTTTAATCCTAGCATTCCAGAGGCAGAAATCCCTCTGGATCTCTGTGAATTCAAGGCCACACTGGAAACAGCCAAGCATGGTGACACATGCCTTTAATCCCAGAAAGTGAGCCTTTAATCCCAGGGAGTGATGGCAGAAAGCAGGAAGGCATATAAGGCGTGAAGACCAGAAACTAGAAGCTTTTAGCTGATGAAGCTTTTAGGCTTTTGAGCAACAGTTCAGCTGAGATTCATTCTGGATGAGAATTCCGAGGTTTCCAGTCTGAGTAAACAGGATCAGCTAAGGAATTGACGAAGTGAGGAAGCTGTGGCTTGTTCTGCTTCTCTGATCTTCCAGCATTCACCCCAATACCTGGCTCCAGGTTTGTTTTTATTAATAAGACCATTTAAGATTCATACTACAGCCCAGAAACTTTTTTTTTTGTACTAGCAAAGACTAAATCCACCATGCAGCATTGCCGGTCAAATGCACACACCAGGAACCCACCATAGTAGCTCAAACCCACAGGCTGCCACTAACTTTAGAGAGACAACCAGGAAGCTGTTTTTAGCTCCATTTTAGAATCTTTTTTCTCAGGTTTTAGGTGGAAACTCTTGCCAACCTGTTGAGCGCCATTTGTAGCTGAAGTTTTCTCCAGTCCTGCCTGGCCCACAGTCAGGACAAATCTCTCTCACCCACCAGTCCCACAGCCACTCAGACCCACACAAGTAAACACACAGAGACTTATATTGCTTACAAACTGTATGGCTGTGGCAGGCTTCTTGTTAGCTGTTCTTATA